TTTTCTGCCTAAAATGCACTTATGTGTATCAAAAGAGAATGGAAAAAAAGTGGTTTCATCCTCCGAGGGAGACACCATCCTGTGTTTCTAGGACATAGAAATATCTGGTAAAGGACGCCCCGATCAGGTTCCAAAGATTTAACTGTCGGGTTCCTGCAATAGAAGACTAAGGTTGGCCATAGGTGGCTTCGATTTCAGCCGATTACAACATTTTACCAAGATTTGTTAAGATGACATGTTTAATATTTTGTATCATTTGGTGCTTTCGCATTGAATCTTCATCTAAACCGACCATGGCCTTCCGAGTCTTGTTACTTACTGAGGCGAACTGGTCAATTGAGTCTGCGTCGTCCAGTTCGGCTTTCAGTTCGGCATAAGATTTTGTGGTCTGTGTGAGAAAGAGAAGACCGTCAGACTTTTTATGACTGTAAACCGGTTGGATGAGGGAGTGTGTTCACAAATGTTTATACTGTTGATTAGCTACTTTGTCCATTTCTTTGTTTCTCCAATCTATCCAGGGGCTGCTTTGAGGGATCTGTCACAGCTCCCTCTCCACCTGCGAGGTCCGTTTGCTTACCCGTGCTCCTTCACCACCCCACTGCAAAAGTCCAAACTGGGCTAGCTCTGGTGTATATGATGCCAATGCCCCACCCTTGTGACAGGGTCCAGCCCTGGCAAATTTCTGCTCAGGCCTCAAAGTCAGAAGCCACAGAACAATGGCATCAAGGTAGCGTGAGGAACGTGTGTATACATTACTGTAGGTGTAGGCAACCTTGGCCAGCTGTCTGATGAGGTATTGCAAGACCCACAGCCACAGGCATGGCTCTGAGAGGTAGAAGCATGGTGCGTTTTCTATAGGGATGCACTCAGTGGGGAGGGATTGCGATGATCGCAAGTACGATCTGCCTGTCCAAGATGGGCAGATTGTACGTTTTGTTTTGTTTTTTAAAGTACTTTACAACCCTCGCAAGATCTTTATCTTGCGAGGGTTGTAAAGTGTATGGCCAACTATAGCCTGGAGACGAGACTGCTGGAGATCACTACTCTTACAGCCTACCCATTATGCCGGCGTATAAGACGGGTTTTTAGACCCAAAAACACTGCCCGAAAATCGGGGGTCGTCTTATACGCCGGGTATACTGTATGTAGCTTTGGCTACATACAGTATACCACGCTGAGCCAATCACGGCAGGCTTTGTATTAATGAATACAAAGCCTGCCGTGATTGGCTCAGCGCAGTAGGACGGAACTCGGAAGATGGAGGACGCTGCGGGGATCGTGGACAAGGTAAGAGACTGTAATCCCGAGTGTGGCTCGGGGTTACCACTTATGGTACTGAAAATTAACCCCGAGCCACACTCGGGAATACCGCCAAGGAGGTTAGGGGGGTCGTCTTATACGCCGGCAAATACTGTATTTACAAATCTGTCCACATTTGTGCGGCAACTTTAAAACACTAGGGTCCATACTGTCTGCAGGCGCTTTGAGAGCCGCATAATAAGTTCCAAAGGGGCCATATGGTGCCTCTGGGCCTCACATTGGGTACCAGGGTTTTAAAGATGACCAGTCCATAGGCCTAGTGAGAGTGGTCTCATAAAGGTACCAGTACCACTAAATCAGAGCTGGTGCCTCTCTAGAAGACGTCATAAGATTATAGGTCCACTTTAAAGTACAGGTTCTCTAGCTCATGGCTTCACTTCGGCTAGCTGCAGTTTCATCCTCTGAACCAAAAACTATATCAATTTTAATGAGAATAAACAGAATTTATGGCAATAGGTGCGGGTTCCGTCTCCTATACAGTATTGCACTGCAACCTAGCTATGGCTGTGTCAATGAGGATCACGTACCTCCCACTTGAATGGATCCCAGGCATGGAACCAGCCAGTGAAAGTGGGGGGCTCGAACCCTTGCTTCACGACGTTGATGGGGGTGTTGAGGTCCCGCCCTCCAGGGTGACTCTTCAGGTATTCCTGAGCTGTTACGACAGCCTGGGACTTCTCTGCGTCATTCGCGTCTTTTCCGATCCACAAGAAGACCTGGTGACACAGTTATTACAAGCAGCCATTACACCTACATGTCCAACCCAGTGCCTAAAAATTACTGTTGGAAGTCATAGTGCAATGGAAAAGAAAAAATAATCACAAACATTACTCCAGCTGTGACATTTTCAGGATACGCTTTCAAG